TTGTGAATTTGGGGTTTTCATGAGCTGTAAACCATAATCACTGAGATTGTGAATTTGGGGTTTTCATGAGCTGTAAGCCATAATCATCACAATTATGACAAATCATGGCTTGAACTATCTTGCTTTGCATGTAATGAGTCTATCTCATATATTAGTTTCACCTTTTAAGTTGCATTACTGAAATAAATGAACTTTTGCACGATATTCTAATTTTTCGAGTTTCACCTGTATACCCACTACTTTACATTGTAACCAAGTGTCATTTCTTCAGTGTTGTCACATGAAAAGATATTCTTAAATATTTACAAAATGTGAGGGGGTGTTACTCATCTGTGATATACTGTATGTTTTTAAGCATGCCTAAGAAAGCATTCCAAATACCTGTAAGTGATGGTCAATGTATGAAGTTTTTAAAATCTCTGCAGCTGATGGCCTCAGTGAAGGGTTCTTATTCAGCATTCTAAAATATTAACAAAATGAAATGAATCAATACTGACATTAACGAAAGATATAATGGAAAAAATAAAATCCAAACAAACATACCCACCTATGCAAGACAGCATCAAGTTCTCTTGGAAAATTGTCTGGAAGAGAAGGTGTTTTGCTCTCTACAATTTTCAGAACAACGGTCAAAAAACTATGACCAGTAAACATGTGGTTCAAACAACACATCTCATACAAAATGCATCCAAGTGACCTAGAATGCGAGATAAAAATGATTCAAGGACAAGCAGTTATTCTAAATTCATGCCTAGTAACTTCTTATACTTATCTTGTAGTCCTGGTGAAAAGAAATGATAAGTTCCCTGCAGACAAAAATAAAATATACTTTCTCCAAACTATAAAATCATACCTAGCATAAATTTAGATATATGAGTAATAAAATAGATTTTTTGTGATCAACCTAAGTACATAGCAAGATAAAAATACATATCATAGATAAAACTGTTAAAAATACAGATAATCCTTATGGTCATTAGCCCAGAATTATGGTCATACATCATTGCAGTTATAAGGCACCACATGATTCAAAGTTATGATCATTTTTATGGTAGCTGTTAGGTGAATATAGTGGTCATTAAGCAAACATTGTACTTGTTGAGCAAATCAATTTTCCCCAATGAGTGTTTTTCCCCCATAAATTGGAAATACATATTGAAAACCAACAAAAAAAGTCATAAATCACAGCCATGTGACAAAGGGATGTTGCAAATGATTGTAAAACTGAACTATTTGCCAACTGCCTAAAATGTAGTCATGCAATTGCTGTGTGTGTCTGTGCCATCGTAACTCCCAAACCAGTCATAAAAAGTTCTGCATAGTCCATTGTAACTTGGATTACTTGTGAATTAACAATAGTTTTATGCTATTCAATTGCTTTAGTTCTACTGCAGGGTTCCACCACAAAACCGCATTCGACTACACCGCGCTCGACGAAACCACGTAGCTGACGTCATCAAGAGGGCGACAACAGCGCGGAGACAGAAGCACGCTGCAAACGCTAAACCTAAAATTAACCCCTAAACCTAAACCTAACCCCCCTAACCGCCCTAAACCTAACCCTAAACCTAATCCTAACCCTTAACCTAACCCTAAACCTAACCCTAACCCTTAACCTAACCCTAACCCTAACCCTAACCCTAACCCTAACCCTTAACCTAACCCTAAAGCTAACCCTAAACCTAACCCTTACCTTAAGTTGAATCGGCTTGCTTTCAAAGTGCTATTTAAAGCGCCCTTCTTTCTCCGCGCTGGCTGTTGTCGCCCTGTTGATGATGTCAGCGACGCGGTTTAATCGGGCGCGGCTTAGTCGAGCGTGGTTTTGATGGGTCACGCTACTGCAGCTATGCTTTGGAATAGCACCCCCACAAACTTTGAATAGTTCCCATGTGCTTATCTTTAAGAAATTTTTGAAAACCTGACATTTTCCCCAAGCTTTGCTTAGGATATTTGGGTAGATCCTTTTCCAGTTGGAGCATGACATGGTCAGACCATATGTTGTTTTGCCAGATTGTAATTTTTTATTTGATGCTGTTCTTTTATATAAATAAATAGTCCTTGGCTTTTGACAGTAATGGAGCTTGCCCATTAGTGTTGCATGTCATGATAGCTATTAAGCAAGGAAGTGTTGGTTAGTGACCTGTTCTACCTGATGTAAGTGGAACACAAGATACCTGATGGGTGAGGGAAGGCCCTGAAAGGTCAAGGCCCAATTGTCCCAGGTCTCCTTAAAACATCTCCCATCCCTTGCTTTTTGCTCCTTGGGTCCCTTCGGGCTTCAGATCTGCTTCCCACCACATTAGGCCCCATACCCTCCTCCTCATTTACAGTACCTTCTGAGGAGTTCAGGAGCTTTCCACAGCAATGGAACAGGGTTATGTTACCTAATACCAGAAGATGCCATCATGTTCCCAGTATTCACAATTTAATGTGTCCATCAGGAACACAGGAGCCACTTCCAGAATGCTGCTACATGGCCACCAAACAATTGTTTTATTTTGTTTGCCTAATATTATCTGCACAGCACTGCAGAAAGCATCAGAGGCCAGGAGTTTTCCACAGTGATATGCAGACCATGATAGTGAAGCAGTATGGTTGTTTTGTCACTCAAACAATCAGAATTGTGCAGTGATTCTGGAAGAAGACCTCATGTTCCCATGGCCCACAATTCAATGTGGCCACTAGAAACATGGTCCTAGCTGTATGATGAACCAATCTGTTCCAGCATTTTGGATGTCTCTGGAATTCTTCAAAAGGTAAGTGTGTAGGAAGAGGGTATGGTAAGGTGACAAGATGTCCCGATTTTCGTGGGACGGTCACAATTTTGCACAATTTGTCCCGTGTCCCACTGCATTTTTAAAAAGTCTCGATTTTTTGAAAGAATGCATGACGTAGTATCTCAGTTTCACTCCAAAGATTTTGAGAAATCCACTGGTGACTTATCACTATGCTAGCTGAGAGTTAGAGGCTGCCTGAGCTGCTCTCTCCCATTGGCTGGTTGCTCGGGGCCACGCCCCTCATCTTTTGCATCCCTATTGGCTGGCGGGCCTCTCCGAAGCCAGAGATCCAACCCCACTCCCGGGCTTTCCTCTTTGACCTTGCCGGCATCCTGCGCTGGCTCAGAAACGTGCGAAACCTGAAGCAATCGCGCCCTAGCCCATCTTGCCAGATCCCCGATCGCTCTGGTTCCTGGGCTGGACAGATCCAGAGGCTGCCTCCTCCTACTCCCCGCAAAAGCCTCCACCTCTTCGGGTAGCGCCTCTCCCAATCTGGTCGGTCCAGAAAAGCCAAACAAGGAGGGGAGCTCGCCTTCCTCTCCTCCTCAGCCTCCCTCTCTGCGTCAAGGGCTGGGCTGCTTCTCGCTCTTTCTTTCGTTTCATTCTCTCCCTCCCTCTCTCTCTTTCTTTCTTTCTCTCTCCTTCTCTCCAGGCTTGGCGGGTCCAAAGATTTTCCCCGGGACGGGCTCCCCTCCGTTTTTTCTCCCCTTTGTCTTTTTGATGGAGCTGCTGCTGGAAGCGCCAAGAAAGAGGCGGGATTGCAAATGAAAGCTTCCTCCCATTTCCACCGCCGCCCCACGTTGGAAAGTGAGGAGTGGGGGGATCCTTGACCCCTTTGAGAAGTAGAGCGGCCCCAGCGCGTCAAGAATGCGCCTTTTCCAAAAGGAGAAAAGGTGCTCCGGAGACCTTCGCACGTAGTTGCACGCTCCCACCCCGGTTGTATGTCTGTGCATTTGTCGATCATATGGGTCACAATACCGTGCGGCCTCTTCTAGCTGCGGGGGGTTGTGGATAGGGAGGAGGGGTCTGCCTATTTGGGGGTGGGGTGGTGATTGGGGGGTTAAAGCTTCGTGGGTATCGATCTTTTGATTCAATGAGCAGACGAGGAAAGGGAGGCTGTTCCTTCCAGGTTTGAATTGTGGGGGAGGGGAAGGGGGTTGGATTGGAGAAGGGAGGGGGGCTAACATCGGCCACTCCACTGAAGCTTGCTCGGGGTGGCCAATTCAGGCCTGAAAAGGCAGTTCCAGCAAGAGCAGGATGCTATAAATAGATCATATAATATCAGTCCGCCAGCAACCCCCCCAACTCCATTTTTCATTCATTGCGCATCAGAACTCAGGCGGGCAAAAGAAAATGCTTCACCCCACTGATTAAAGTTCTTTCACCCAAAGGCCCCAACAACACTGTCAAGCGCTGTCAAGAAAGAGGCTTTTGGCCGCTCCAGCGGTATGTCCGCCATACACACACACACACACANACCCTGAGCCGGTGAGATTTGAACCGCTGAACTGCTGATCTAGCAGTAGCCTGCAGTGCTGCATTTAACCACTGCGCCACCTTGGCTCTTAATATCTGGAGCCAGTGGGTGAGATCATCCATCATCAGGGGCTGAGATATCATCCATATGCTAATGATACCCAGCTTTATAATCTGCCCATGATGAATTAAGTAATGCTGTTGATGTCCTGTCTTGGTATCTGGAGGCTGGGGTGGGGGCACTGAATGGGAAATAATAGGCTTCAATTTTGCTCTGGAAGATTAAATAGATTTGGGTTTGGCACCCTCCTGATTCTATGGATTACCATCTCTTATTCTAGAAGAATAGAATAAGTAACACTATCCTAAAAAGACAAAGTGCAAAATCTGGGTTTCTCAGACACTTGTGACTCTTGCTCAAAGAGCAAGTGGCAGCCTACAAGCCTTTGCAGAGATTCATATACATCTTAGAAAAGAAAAACAAATACTAATAAATTTGACTCGTTTCCTATTTTTTTCACTGGCTATCATTTCTTTCTCTAAAAGGGACAAAGGCCATTAATTGAAATACAAAATAAATGCCATAATTTCTAGTGAATTGCAATCTGTTCTGCAAATGTCACTTTGTTTTGTTTGTTACAGCATTTCTATATTATTTTAAAGGCGTTTTTAACATGAGTGGTGTAATATTGCCATGATATTCTGTTTCCCAGAATTTTAATTGATCTATAAAGTGGACCTTTCCACCACTTATCTTCTTTATACTAATCCGACCTTTAAACAAAAGCATGGTAGTATGATTATGGAGATGTTCCAACTATTCAAATGGAGCTCCAGGAATCAAAATCCAAAGTATTTTCCTCTCCAGGGAGGAAAATGATCAACAAGTGAGTTGTGCCTGTATTTTAAAATTGTTGTTGTTCTTCTTTTTAATTTGAGGATGGGGCTCTCTCCTCTGTCTGTCTATCTGTTTCTGTATTGGAGTGTGAGAAATCTACCTGACTTTCTGAAAATTTAAATTACTAATAGCAGGTGGCCCCTATTCTACTTCTACCAAATTCTGAACATCTATAATGAAGTTTTAATTTTTTGGAGATAGAATTTTCAGACTATGAATGCAGAGTGCTAAAATCCAGTTGACTTCATAACAAAACAGCACTTCTCTTAAACTTGTAATAATACAGATCCTTCTGCATTAAATATCCAATCAAATATCTTACCAATCAATGAGTTTAGATATAATTCTCTAGAATTTGATTGGTATTTCCTGCAACCTTTTAACTGTATTTTATAGTTTTCACTTTTTTATAATGCATTGACTTTTTAATGTACAGTATATCACAGAAGTGAGTACACCCCCTCACATTTGGTAAATATTTAAGTATATCTTTTCATGTAACAACACTGAAGGAATGACACTTGGCTGCAATATAAAGTAGTGAGT